TGGGGGTGGGGGGGGGTGGGGGGCAGAGGGTATCTATCAGCATAGCCTACAAATTAGTCATTACGGTGTCCAGTGTTCTTTATTTTTGTATTTAAAACAAAAAAAATCAGTTTCTTACGTTTTAAATTGATCTATCTCAACATTTATGGATGCGAGTGCTTTTAAAATTATATTAAGAAATATATTTTTTTAAAGCATGATGCCATCATACATGTTATTTTATAATTAACACGCTACCTTACTTTAAAAGCTATGATTTGTGTATAATTACATATACTTTGAATACAGATTGACAATTTTTGAATCCTTTATATTAACTTCGCCATTGATCACGTGTTTCTTTCTGGCTGGGTGTGTGGCAAAATCTTTCGACGGCTAATTGACCGTCTTCCCGTCAACCTATCGAGCTGAAACTTGACACATAGACTCGATGTCGATGACAACACATTTTATTGAATTCTCAGCCCAGCCAAAAAAAAAAAAAGTTTTTTTCCGTTTTTTTCAAGGGTAAGATGAAGGAAATATGATGCCACTGATTTCACAAAATAAAATTCCAGATAACTGCGCTAAAATAGATTCGCACAATTATTGCAAGTGCGTTTTGTGCTAATATTTTCTTTTGTCTTTCTGAAATAGTTGGTGAAATAAATCTTAGGTGTTAAAGCGAGTGGATCATTAAAATATAATTATAGTTTAGGGGCGTGAACAAATGTGTGGTTGTGGGCCTTGGAGAGGGGGAACACTAATTAGGATTCTTATAAACAGCGTTACTAACCCCCGGGTGGGGGGGGGATTTTTTTCAGATTTTCGGGGGGGAGGGGGGGCAGGCGACAGTGGAAAGAGGCGTAGCTAAGGTGGGCATACGGGGCATATTTCCCTGGGAGTCAGACAAGCGGGGACACCTAATGGGCTGGTGGGGTAAAAATGAATGTTGGCCAATGGCACCAAACACGCCAGTGACGTAGAAGGGGGGTGAATAGTTGGTCTGCCCATGTGTCTTTTTATCTTTATTTTGAGTGGGGGTATTTTCGGATAACTGCAGAGTTTTCTACCGAGAAAGGTATTATAGCGTGGCAAAGAAGGTAACGCACAGAGGGTGGCGCTAACACTAGGCACGCCGCTGGGCAGTATATATATATCGGCACCAAAATTGGTTGTCAGGGCAAGCAATACTACCATTTCATCGGGAAGTAGGGCAGAAGTCGAGCATCCCAATGGCTTTTTCCTAACCAGAAAATGTGTTATTATTTAAAAATCAAGAGTTGCAGTTTGGAGTATACATCATTTGAATGTTTTGAAAAGACTATTTGATAAGGGAACATTTTTTTTCAAGCGTCGGGAGGCATTATGGCACCCAGTGCCATACATAAACTAAATTCATTCTGGTTGTGTTGTGCCCAAGATAATCATTTGACACAAGATTAGATTCAACACTTTTAAGTCACATTGATCGACGTCAAGAATGGGGTCGCTGAAATTGAGGAATTAGAAGAGTCTTGGGCAAAAGCAGGGGCAGAGGTCCCCTTAATTTAGAAAATAATAAATTCAAAATGCAGTGATGCATTTTGGTGCATATGTAAATTCAATGTTTCTTTCAGACAATGTGGAAATACTTTCGTATTTTTACTGTTAGATGTCTCCTGGAGAAATGCTACGAATGCAACAACAGGAAGCAAAAACCTCTCTAGGGGGGAAAAAGGGCAATAAACACCACTATCATAAGATCAGTAGTAACTTACGCAAGTGAGACTTAGCTCTTACCAGAAAAGCAGAGAAACTGCTCCATACATGGGAGATGAAAATTCCCAGAAAAAATATAAGACCTGGTGATAGACAATTGTGTTTGGGAAATCCGTAAAAATCAAGACCTATATCAATTGTAATTATACAAATACCTGTTCATAGTCACAACATTTTTTATTTTTTTTAAAAAGGCAGACTGCCCTGGACAAGACTCATTGAAAGGATGCCGGATTTTAGAGGATTAAAAACGATCTACAGGCAGAAACCTAGGAGCAGAGGGCTCACCGGTCGACCAATACTGATATGGATTGACGATGTAGAGAAGGACTTACAAACGCTGGGGTGGACGCATGGACGCGGAAAGCGATGGATCACTCAGAATTGAACGATGTGATAGAGCAGGCTAGGCCCAAACATGAGATGTGGCGCAACTGGTGAAGATATTTCTGATTTTTGGAAGGGAAGCGCTAGAAATAGCCCCAATAACAATGACATCTCTAACTCTTCCACCATCCCAACACTAACCAAATTTCTCCATTACTTAGACTCACCCCTTAAAATTGTATAGGCCCCGGAAAATTTTGATAAATTCAAAATGCAACAATGAATTTTTGTACATAGTTAAATGTAGTTTTGCATCATTATACACTTAACTGGAGAGCAATGGGATAGATACTAGTTATCATTTTAGGTGTCGACCTCAGAAACATCGTGTGGGTTCTGCACCCCGTACAGCTGCATGGGGTCTCGAATATTTTAGGGGCTTAATGTTGTGCTGTAAATACTTTTAATTTTCAACGTTCAATGCTAAGTAGAGAAGGACAGAACCGAAAAGTAGTTGGGGGGGGGGGTGCCACACAAAGTCAAGAGACATCTCTTCTTGACCAGGTGTGTTATACAATATAAATTTTTACTTCTACTGAAGAGTAATGTGTTTTTTTTAAAGTTTCTATTAAAAATATTATTGGGGTAAGCTACTTTAAAGAAAACTAATTTACAACAAAAACAAAAAAGAAATTC